CTGATTCTGAAACAGGAATACTCAGTTGCCATCATGCTTTCTAACTGCTGATGCTGCTGCATAGGACTAAGAGTCCAACTGAGTTCATTTTTTGCAAGTATAAATCTTGTGGGCACATAAAAAAATTCCAACTCCATCTCTCTTAGTGGTGTTGACTCTACAGAGCTACAGTACCAAATTATTTTTATTCACAAAGAAACAGATACATCTGCAGGTTCACTCAGGAGACCTGCTGGGTGATGAGATTTCTTTTCTTTTTTTTATTTTATTCTTTTTCTTGAGCCTGGAATTTTGTCTTTCTCTACAAGTATGTCAGAGGATCCAGCAGCTGAATTGAAGCAAACTGACATTTTAAAGTGGACTAAACCCATCTTTTCAGGGTGGGTTATTATTTAAGTTGGTAATACCTGCAGAAATACTGCCAGGCCAAAAGGAACAATCAAGGGACGATTGTCAAATAATACAAAGGACTAACCAGTTTGGGATAAAAGGAGTCAGTATAGGGCACAGGTTGCCTAGGGAATGAGGTGGTGTTTGAAAAAGTTGAGTCCAACTCACAGGGGGTTCTCATAAAAGTTTAAAAACTGCCTTGTCCTTGTGCGACCAACTTGCTCAAGAGCTGCTTTGCTTGTGCTCACATCAGCCTGGCCCTCTTCTTCCTCCCCACCATGTGTTCAGGGTTGCACCTAGCAGGACCTGCCTTGGGTCCCCCCTAGCCCATTCCACCCATGGGCATCTTCTTCCTCTTAGCATGTGGCCTTGCTGGGAAGGCTGTGACATCTCCATCGTTGAGTTTTGCCTGTCATCTATGGAGAGATGGTTTGCCTCGGATGTTGAGATCCCCTGAGGTTCTTTCTTGCCCTGTTTTTTATCATTTGTTTTAAGGCCATGTTTCCCCCATGTTTGAACCCAATGAAAAGTCACTAACAGCTATGTCTGTAGGAGGATCCCCGTCCATGTTTCCATTTGGCAGATGCATCCCGTTTCTGACCCATCCGTTCCCAACAGCCCTTTCTCACAGGGCAATGGCTTGATCAGCTCAACAGAATCTGGTTTTTAAATAGGAGCTTCACTTTTGGAAAGCTAGTTTTCTCCAGACCAATTGGTGCCCTTTAGAAGCACCTGATCTGCAATAGACAGATTCTCAGCATTTTCTAAATGACCCCCTTGAAGTAGCTCACATGGAAAACCCAAGCCAAGGTTTGGAAAACTGCTGTTGTGAAGCTGTAGAAGAGAAGAAAAATCTTCTGATACTTCTTGTTATGCCCTCTGACAGATTTTGAATAAGGCCTGACACAAAATCTGTAATTTATAATGTAATTTCTGTGTTCATCAGTATCCATGAAACCCCTCAAATGCTTTTGGTTACACTTCCAGCAAGACACTCAACAAAAACTCATCCTGACCTAGAACGAATATAGCAGATCCTCAATAAATTGACATCTCTGAGGTTACCATGCCACTAAGTAACCTACCCAGCACTCTGGCCCATATAGTTGTCAATATGGATAAAAAACTCTAAAAATAAACCACATCATTATTTTTAACCAGAGGTTTAGAAATCCCATGTACCTTTCTGTGTGGTCCTGGTGAGCTTGGCTGGAAGTCCAGGGCAAGGTAATCCACACTCCCTGAACTCTTTTTAGGTGCTGGACTGTTGGTGCCACTAGGAACAGGAGAAGCAGAAATGGGGTTTTGCTAATGCGGGAAAGAGACAGGAGAGATAAATGAGCGTTAAAATGGGAAAGAAAAAGAAAAAGAAATAACACAAATCTGGCACAGAAATGCCTTGGTTCTACTTTCATAGGAGGATATGCTTTCACCCAGGATGGATATGCTCTTGCTTATCTCCTTGGTACCAGCTCCTCTCTAGGACCAGGGTCTGCAAGACTGCTGGAAGACTGAGGGAACTGGACTCAGTGGGGTTGTACATACTCTGTCCTAACAAATCCTATAAGTGCACACTCTCAACATGATTCTTTGGTGCAATTTTATTGCTTTTTTTTTTTCTGCTGGTTTTATTTGCATGTCTAGGGTCAGATGTAGGTTTAAGCATTTTGTTTTTTTTTCTGCTGGTTTTATTTGCATACCATGCAGATGTAGGTTTAAGCATTTCACTGGAACCACACCTTAGTGAGGCTGGACCAGCATTGGGATCCTTGCTACTCACAGCTGTGCTCCACAGCCCTCAAATTTCCTCTACACAACCTTAAAAATATGCTTCAAGTCAGCAGCTTTGTGCTGAGAGGCAGAACTCCCTCCCTGTGAGCAGCACCACTCCCTGCTGCTGCTCTGATAGCCCCTGCCCTAGACATAAACACGACGTCAGCAGCTACTGCAGGGGGGAGAAAAAAGAATAAAAATATCTACTTAAATCAGGAAAATGCATTGTGACAATACATAGATGTTTTTATCACCTCTTAATGCCTGGCAAAGGGAGTGGTATGAATTCCTGCTCTCATATAGAGTCATTTTAGGAATAAATCCACTGCTCTACGTAACGATTTGTGCAAGGAGGTACACTACATTCATCACTGTGCTAGCAAGGAATTTCAGAGCTTCCAGAGTCAAGAGCTAGGAATGTGTCTACAGCACTGGGAAAGGCATATGTCCCCTCAGGACTACATACATCTCCACTGGGGCCCTCTGAGGAAGAGCTTACCATTGCCACGTAGTTCTCCTCACTGTCTCCTGAGTCAGTGCTGGTGATGCTCTGCGAGGAGACAGGGCGGCAGTACTGCAAAGAGCCGGCGTTGAAAGTTTGGCTGTAACGAGAAGTTAATTCGTGTTAATTAGCCATTGCCGGTGTTATTTGCCCATTGCTGAAGAAGAATGAGAGAGGGCAGCACTAGATGTCTCCAATGATCGCTGTGCTCAGATCTAGTGACGGGGTCCTACCAAAGAAAACCTAGTGGCAACGACAGTCTCTCCAACTCAGCCTTCCTCCTGTTCAGAAAAGCTCTGGGCTTGGTCTTTTAAGCATTTTTCTCTCTAAGACTTTTTAACAATACCTTGCTTGCTATGTATCCTTTACTCTCCAGCTATCAGATACATAAATCCAGGCTCCATAAACTCTTTTATCTCATAGGAAGCATTTAATTGTGTAGGATATAGAGCCAGCCTCCATGGAGCTACACAGCAGGCTTTTGACCTCCATCCTAATCACAGCTCCAGGGTTTGTTTATTGTGCAGGAGCCTGTCTGAATTTTATTTTATTCTATTTTCTTTTTTTCTGTGGCAAAACAAAACCTCTAAGGCGTCATCTTGTTTTCAATTGGCCAAATCTAATTATATAGAATAACATAACGTAATGAGTGTCTGGTATTAAAGCTTGTGTCTTAAAAAGCTATTTGTTGCCTTGCAGTAAAGGCAGGGTCATATGATTAGCTGATAAGGAAAAAATCCATTATCTTCTACAGGGTCAGACGTCTTGTCAATCAAATCTGACTCCCTCTTTCCTGATGCAGTGATTTCAGCACACAGCCCTCATGCCCTGCAGTCAGTCTCCACACAATCCAATTTATTAGAAGAGTCATAACAGCCAAGCCTTGCTTCTTCCTTTTATTGGACAACAGCAGACTATGAATTAGCAGCAAGACTGGAATTGTGTGAATCCTGTTATTTTTGGCGGAGAGACTTTGGTATGAAGTGCTTTGGTTTCATTTTGCAGACTTCCTCCAGGCTAAGCTTTGCTTTCAAGGCAATCAAAACAGAAATCGGTGAAACTCTATGAGTGCATAAACCCTGCATTTCTAGATTAAAGCATTTTTTTTTCTTTTTTTCTTTCTTTTTTTTTTTGCAAGAGGTGGTTGTGAAATTGCATACTGCATCCCCGGTTGAGCTGAGTCGGGGTCACTCAGATGCGCCATGAGTCTCTGCAGACCACAGATCCTGCGTCAAAGCCAGAAATCTGTGGGTGGTGTCAGACCCTAGAAATAGGAAATGTCTTCAAGTGATCTTAATTAGCTGCTCTGCCACTTGCTGGGTTTTCATGTGGAATCCTAACCCAAATTAATTCATACACTGCCATCAGCTATGGCGTGGGGAATACAGCTCCAGCTCTTACTGTGCTTGACAGAGCCTGTGAGGGGTCCAAGACAGGAACGCTCCTGCTTTGACAATATCTGACCCAAATCCAAAGCCTGACAGTAACTGAGCAAAGGAAATCACCATGGCATGGCAGAGTATTCTTAGAAAGTATTGTAACATAACCGCTCAGTTCTCATCCTCCTCCCAGATATCTCCTTCTGGTCACTGATGGATGCAGGATCTTGAAGAAGTTGGATTCACAGTACAAATGTTTTTATGTTTGTATGTTCATGACCCAGCTCTACAGATCTGGTTTCTAAAATTGACAAAACTCCAAACCAGGGATGAAAAGAACATCTAGATTTTGGGAAAATTCAAGTTCACATCCAAACTTTGGGCTTACTTCTAGTTTGAGTTGGGATGGCATGTTAGAGATGTGTCCCTTTAACAGCAAGAGGTGGTGGGCAAAAAGAAACCTCTGCAGTAGAGCAGCTGCAATCCCTGTGACATTCAGGCTGAGCTGTGTAACCCGTGACAAAAGAAAGACTATGACTACATGTAGACATCAGTGAGAATGACAGCCAGCAGCGTCATAGACTTGTCATCAGAGCAAAGCAATCAGCCATACCCAACCAGGTACTCACGTAGGCCTGGACCAGGATTTAGTGACTGGCGATTTGAAAGGAAGCTCATCGATGACTGTGTTGTTCCTCAGGTCCAGAGGTGATGGCTTTGCTGAGAGGGAAGACAATTTATTCAGAGGGAGGACATTCCCTACAGTTCAGCTCTCACCACTTGCATGACAGGGGATGATTCCCAATAACATGCTGGTAGTTTTCCATTCTGCCCTCAGTTTAATCAACCCACCAACCCTCCTTGCTGAGGACAAATATCCCGATCCAGAAGCCCTGCTCATGCTAGGACCATGGGAAGTGAAGGAACTTCTCCCTCTGAGCCACGACACAGTCCCTCCTGTCAGTCCCCAAGGGTCCCCAGCAGATGGGTGGCCCCAAAAGGGGAATGTGCCTTGCAGAAAATGGAGATGTGTCTTCAGGTCTAGTTAGCCTGGATCATCAGAGATCTCTGATGTCCTGTTAGGCTGGAAAAGACTCTCTCCGCCCTCGGCCAGCCAGAGCTAGACAATATCAGCCTGCTGCTAGCATGTAGTAGCACGAGTAGTCTCTGGCCAGAACATTTCCCATGGGTAACTTAAAAAAGGAAATCTTCAGTGTAATATGAAAGCTCTTCTAATTACGGTTAGTTCATTATGTAGAAGAAAACACCAGGCTTGTTTAGTGTCCTAACCCGGTTACATTTTGACAGCTTGCAGGCAGCCAAATGGGAACTCTCCCTTCTCAGTGTTTCCTTGGCCAAAATTCCCTGGATGGTCCAGGCAGTGGTCAGAGATGTGACTTGGAGGGTGCAGGCAAAGTTTGAGGGAAGAGCTGCCTAAAGCTAGCCAATAAGAAGCACTAGGTGAAATTCGGATCATCTGTATACGACCCAGAGATTTTAAGGCAGAACATAGGGAGCGGTGAAAGCAAAGGGGTGACTTCCTGACTGTTAAGCACTTTCTGTAAAGGCCAGGCAGAACCTGGGGTAGGCTGTATAGTAAGCACCAGGAAAGCTGTATCTTCCCCATAGTCCTCCTGAAATCAGTGTGTGATGAGGAAAGCGAAGATCTCAATGTCTGAACATGCTGTGGTTAATGAATTACACCCTAAATAGGACTAGGGAGTGACATGCATGCCTGAAGTCCCTGGAAGATACTCAAATACTGTTGCTCCATGCAGCATGCACAACATGACAGATGCAGATGGAAATGTCACAAGATATTTCCTGGAAAGCTTTCACCACAAACAACCATTCTTACCTTTCCGGTCGGGTTTCAGGTTGCGGTTGACTGGTGGAGGCTGGATCTCACTCAACCGTCTGTGGCACTGCGCCATGGCTCCTCCTTTATGCACTGGGAGGGTGGTCGAGGACAACCCTACTAAATCAAAGTGATGCGGCCCAGGGCTCATGGGGATGTAGAGGTTTTGGGCATTGTCATTGGCTTTCTCCGTGTGGATCAGTGATGATGAACCAGGGTTCATCGGGACGTAGTTGTCCTCAGAGTCGGCGCTGTGGGAGCGGGCCACTGCAGCCTTGGCTTGCTGGGGAACATGCAGGAGGCAAGGCGTCAGGATGTGCTGAGTGCATTAGATGCTGCTCAACCCCATCCCAGTATAAATCCATCCCTGTTATTGTCACTGCACGCTAGCACTGGCAATGGGCTTGGTTCTATCTCAGGGCTTTACATGTGCCTGAGCTGCTACTTCTCCTGCTTCAACCTTCGTTTGCAAGACATTGAAACATTCCGACCTCATAGAATGGTCTTAATCCTCCAGACTTGAGAGCCTTCTCATGAGTAGAGTGATTTGCAGAAGCAAGGTTAACCTGGGAAGTGATTTTTCCCTAGGTTGTAGCCATGACTAAAATGCAGTTTGAAAGGCTGCTTTAATATCATTTCCAGCTCAGGAAGTCTTAGAAAGTGCACATAAAAGACTGGCAACATTTCAAATTCAGCTCAATAGCATCCCAGGATTATATGAGAAAGCCAAACTCCTGTGCTTTTTTGGGTCAGAGCTCCAGGCAGATAACCGTGGAAGCATCCAAATCAAAGCTCTGCCTGCACTGCCAGAAAGTTAGGGGTTGTCCCTCCACCTGTGTCCTGCTGGTCATCACTGTAGAGACCACAGCAAGCTGAACAAGAAAGGCCCAGATCCACAGAGATATTCAGGTATAAAAATCCCTTGCAGATGTGAGACCGTGGATTTGACTGTCAGGAAAAGTACCTGCAGTGGGTTCAGGCACAAAAGCTCTTATGAAATGATGCTTCCCTCATATTTAGGATGTGTATTGTGGAATAATCGCTGCACTTCAGATCGCACAAGGGAAAAAATAATTTCCCTATGGACAAGGTTTCAACTAGATCAGTAATAAATTCATTCTTGACTCAGCTCTGTAGGACTGAGCTCAGATCCCACCAGGAACAGACTTGTCTCCTCTCCGAAGGCACAAACAGCCTGTGGCCTACGGCACTGCTGCTGATTGCAAAGCCAACTTACCAGGTAGGAGTTGTACCCATCGTTCATAGACTCAATTGACTGCACAGCACCGCTGCTCCCATGCTGGGGATATTCATACGTCTCACAAGAAGAAGCTGCAACGCAACCACAAATGCACAATGTGTCCTAGAGCAACTGCTAATAAATGTGGCCCCTGGAAACAGAATCCCATATCCACGGGATGTGCTCCTGTTCTTGCTCTTTGTAGCACACAATGCTGGCAAGAAGACAGGCCTTTTGGCCTGCCATGTCTCCTTTGATTTCCACTCCTACCATGCTCTCTACCATCTCTCAAATGTGTCAACACAGCTGCATGTGCAGTCCGGACCTAGCCTGGTTCTGTCAAAGTACTGAAAAATCCCAGGGTTGAAAACGTCAGGTAATGCATATCATAGAGACAAAACTGGGTTAAGGGAGATATGAGGTGAGCATAGGGCACTACGTTCTTAGTCTGTTCCTAAACACTGGTCTCATCTTGGCCTAAATGATGCATGTTGGTATTTAGGGACAAGGTGATGGAAGAGGTGTTTCAGAGAGATATGTATATCATTTTTGGTGTATTGTTGATCCTGCTCTTCCTTCTAAATTAACTTGCAACTGTCTCAGCTAGCTATGGAGAACTATCAAGGCATAACATAATGCAGTTATATGATCCGGGCTAGATTGGGCAATCTGGAGAGAAATAGCTCTACTTTAGAGTTTTCGTGTTTCTTACAGGACTAGGTGCAATGTTTGAAAAGGGTACACTCATCCATGCATCCCTTTGAGGCACTTGTCTGTGATGATCCTGGAGAACCATGCTCTGCAGGCAAGACCAACAGGAAGGATGGCTCAGCCAACCTGGGAGCATCAGATCCGAACAATATGAAAAACTACTTCCCTGTGTGGTGAGCAAAATCAAGGCAGCTACAGGTTGAAGTGAGTTCCCCAAAACCTAGTTATTAATTGAACTTAAAACACACAAGCTAAAAATGGCAAAAATCTGGGCATCAGCAGCAAATTCTGGTGAAAAACCAAAGCGGTCCATGTGGGCACAAGCAGACTTGGGGTTTTATTTCAAGGCACAGTACAGTGAAGAGCCAGCAGAGCGGCTTGGGTCTGCAGAACACCAGAGGATGTCTCTGAAGACCACAACCCATCTTGTAGAAAGAACCAGGCCAGATCCTCACCTGTGAGTTCTTCACTGTGTTCAACCCCATCATGCTGCCTTATGCCAACAGAAGCACTGGCCCTACAGGAACGGAGCTGTACCGTGTCAGCCGATGCCACTAGCTGGTAGCAAGACACTCCTGTCCATCCCCAAACTCACCTCTGTGTAGCCTGCTGTTCTCCACCGTCGGTAGTGTGTTTCTCCTGGGAATGGTGGCTGCCATGGGGGCCAGCCCTAAGCTTTCGCTGGCCATGGGTCTCTGTGGTGGGCTGCCCCACCGCGGCTCCATCTGCCCAGGCTTTGGGGGTCGTGGGGGTGGCGCGGTGGGCGACTCACTGGCGCCCACAGCCAGAGCGTTGTGATTCTTGTCCAGTGTAAATGTCCTGGGGATCTGATAGAGGGAGAGAGGGGTGGAAGGGATGTCGTAGGACTCTGTGGAGAGCTCCCCAAACTCCTTGCATAGGGTGTTGTTGGGAGTCTTAAAGGTGTAGACTTCCTCGTTATCCGTTTCGGAGCTTGTGAGGCTTGACTTGGTGTGGGTGTAGGAACCGAAGCTGCGCGGGAGGTCGTACGCACTGTCCCTGAACTCCGAGTTGTGCCGACTGGGTTTTGGCAGGCTATAGAAGCCGTGGACCTGCCCGCTGACCCCGTTCATGCAGTGTCCGTTGCCCTGGGAGAGCTTCTGAACAGCTGTGTCGCTCCTCATGAAGAACGAGGACCTCGTGGCTTGGGAGAAACTGGCACTCCTGGGGAAGAAAGGGAGAAGGAGGCTTAGATGTTTGGGAGAACCTGTCCTGGGTTTGTACCGTGTACCTTGGCCATGCAGCTCTACTGCATGACCACAGCCCAGACCTAGATCTGTCCCCTCACTTGCAACCATGTCAACCCACGTTGATCACTCATGCCCATGCAAACATGTTCATATAAACAGAATTAGTGGAGGGAGACAAGTGTGTCTAGAGCACATTTCATGGGCCAGATGAATCACACCCCAGAATTGCTTGTTCTTCCCCAAGTCACTATAAATGGGGCTAAGGCTGAGAAGCTCTGGTGGAAACATCCTTGTTGCCACCATTCCTGTAGGTTTGCCACACAGCACCTTTTCAGGGCAACCAGAACATCTCAGAGCCAGCTCTGACCTCATGAACATGCCAACAACCCTTTTCATGTTAAATCACCTTCAAAATACCTAAACGCCACCTATAATTTCAGCCTCTTCCCAGGGGGAAGCCTACGGAACAAGTCGGAGGTGCAAGCAAATAAAGCTCCATGAATGAGCTTTTTATCTAGGCATAAATTGCTCCAAATAGGCTTTTTTTTTTTTTTTTTTTTTTGCATCGGGTGAGAGCAAAACAGTGGAAAGAGCTTAAGACACTCTGACCAGATCTCTTGCATAGGGTCCTGCCTGGGCAATCCCCCAAAACTGGGAGGTGAAAGGGTGAGTAGCCAAGTGTCTCTTGGACCCCGTGGCTCTGCTCATACAGGGCTCTCATCTCAGGGATCTCCCTTATGGTCCCTCCTCGCTGCCGTTACTGGACTCTACCATCCCTCACTGTTTGTTATTTAAGCCTTTGCAGCAGGTGGTGACAGAGACAATTTCCTTCCTTCGTCCCAGAGAACTGTAGGAAGTCAGCGATGGGTAAAGACATGTTTTGCTTTTCTCTTCCTTTCATTGTGGCTCTATTTAACTGCTTTCTGTCTGGTGCTTACGGACCTGAGCCGTCATTTCCCCATAAGCTGTAGGATGGGGTGTTGGAGGCTCATTTTTGGTGCCTCTGGATGGCTCTGCAAACCATGCAGCCTGGAGGAGATAAGCTACAATCTCAGCAGCTCCTTTCCTCACCTGGGACCTGGATTATGCAGCACCCTCTCAGCCACAGGGCAAGAAGAAGTAGCCTCATGGTTTAACTCAGATTTACAAAACCTACTGAGTTCTCAGGGCAAGGGGCAGGTCCCTGCTTTGTTAATGATACTTTGATTTGTACGGCGGTCATGCCAAGACACACCAGCAAGGACCAAGGCCACATTAGGCCAGGCGCTGTGGAGACCTGGTCCTCTAATGACTGCTCATTATTTCTGGCTTCTCCGCTGTCAGTAGATCTCCTTCAAAGCCCTCTGGAAAGCACTGTGGCTGCCTGTTTTATCCCACTGCTATCACATTCTCCTTTAAACACTTACACTCTGCTTGGTTTTTTTTGCAGAAAATCACAAGTTCCATGGGCTTGCTGGGCCTGTAACCCCATCAGAGAATTTTTTTCAAATCAGAGGAAATCTCCAGTTGGCCACGTGAAATTTGGACTTTAGACTTTTATCTCCTGTTGCTTCAGTTCCCCCCTCTGTAAAGCAGATTCACATCCTGCAAGATGTAAGGAAATGCAACTGCTGCTTGTGAAGTGCTGGGATGGGAAAGCGAGGAGCACTGGAGATAAGCACAGAGGGGAAGGGATGGTTCCATCTTTGGAGAAGGCTGGGACTGGCTCTGGAAGGCATGGGGCTATTTCTAGCAGTGTGGCTGAATAAAAGATGACCAGGCTGGCTTGCTAGGGGAGCTCTCTGAAGCAGGGTCCCAAAGAGGTGACCCTGCAATGAAGATCTAGGGTGTATGCACCAAAAGAGCCAGTTCAGGATGAAGGGGCAGCTTTGTGCTGGATGCATTTGCTCACGCTATGCATGAGCATGCAGGACTGCACACAGGTACCCACAGAGGGAGTGTAGCCAGCCAGGTCCCATCTAAATATCTCTGCATAGACTTCTAAATGTAGGTGCCCTTATTTAAAGCTCATTGGCCTCTTGGCCACAAGGGTACACTGCTGCGCCTCATGGTAAACTTGTCCACCATGACACCCAGGTCTTTTTCTGCAGAGCTGCTCTCCACAAGGTCAGTCCCCAGCCTGTACCGGTGTCTGGGGTTATTCCTTCCCAGGTGCAGGACCTTGCACTTGGCCTTGTTGAATTGCATGAGGTTTTTCACTGCCCAGTTGTCCAGTCTGTCCAGGTCCCTCTGGATGGCAGCGCAGCCCTCTGGGGTATCGGCTAACCCTCCCCCTTTTGTGTCATCAGCAAACTTGCTGAGGGAGCACTCTGTGCCTTCATCCAGGTCATTGATGAATAAATTGAACAGGACTGGACCAAGGACTGACCCCTGGGGGACCCCACTAGCCACAGGCCTCCAACTAGACTCTGCACCGCTGATCACCACGAGGAAGGAAAGGAAAGGAAATGCAACTGCTGCTTGTGAAGTGCTGGGATGGGAAAGCGAGGAGCACTGGAGATAAGCACAGAGGGGAAGGGATGGTTCCATCTTTGGAGAAGGCTGGGACTGGCTCTGGAAGGCATGGGGCTATTTCTAGCAGTGTGGCTGAATAAAAGATGACCAGGCTGGCTTGCTAGGGGAGCTCTCTGAAGCAGGGTCCCAAAGAGGTGACCCTGCAATGAAGATCTACGGTGTATGCACCAAAAGAGCCAGTTCAGGATGAAGGGCAGCTTTGTGCTGGATGCATTTGCTCACGCTATGCATGAGCATGCAGGACTGCACACAGGTACCCACAGAGGGAGTGTAGCCAGCCAGGTCCCATCTAAATATCTCTGCATATACTCCGAAATGTGGGTGTCCTTATTTAAAGCTGAATCCTGCCCATATCAGTCGCTGACGGTGAGAAGAAATGAAATACCTGTGCAGGGGTGGGCTCACCCTCCCTTGGCTTGGGGAAGAGTGGGGAGATGCTGGTTTGCAGCGAGGGTGCAGGGACAGTGACTCTCTTTCCTGGAGCCATCACGAGATGGCGCTCAGAAATAAAACTTATCCGGGGGGGAAAAAACCCTGATGCTCCCACAGGACAAATGAACCCGCCCAGACTTCAACGTTCAGCCAACCCACGCAATATCTGACGCGCTAACCACTGATCACTGCAATTATTTCTTGCTCTGCTGCAAATGCTGCCAAAGGCCAGTTCACCTCTGCCCAGACTAGATGAGGGGAGAGTTTGCTGTGGACCAAGCCCCGGCTTTTGCTCCATCCTGCAGGTTTTGGCAGCTCTTCTCTTACGAGAGGTGTCTAACAGCTGGAGCATCGCAAAGCTTTTTTAAACACTGTTCCATTAAACCCAGCTGAAGTTAATTTTCTCCCTCCTCCCCCCTGTTTTTATTTATTTATTTATTTATGTAGTGACGGGCAGCTGCAGTAGGAAAATTCAGCAGAGGTTCCAGCCCGGTCCCTGATCTCCCACCAAGCCAGCTGGGCTCGGACCGCTTCTCCCTTGGTCCCTCCTCATGCTCCCACGTGCCAAAACTCCTCAAGCCAAAACTCCTCACTATTTAAGGCAACTGGCTCGCTCTGAGGGTGGAGAGTTGCTGTTCACTCATAAATACCATGGGCTGCTGCACAGCCTTTGCCTGAATGCTGGGCTGTGGGAACACCATGTGAAACAGCATAAGGGTGGTGGGAAACCCACCCGCCTGTCCTTGCTGTTGAGCTTCCTTACAGGAGGATTAAAGGTAGGAATTAGGACCCTACTTGCTGAAGGAGTGAAAAGTGAGGAGAGGATGCCCCTGAGGGGAGAAATTCCTGGTCAGTGTTTCCAGCTCCCCACTGTTCGTCCTCCACAGCCCTCGGGTGAAGAGTGGGTTACAGACCCAGAATCACCCCCAAAACGAAGGACCCTTTAGGTGTCCTTCCCTGCAGGATCCAGAATCACCCCCAAAACGAAGGACCCTCTCTAAGGAGGGTCTAGGATCTCTCTAAGCCACTTTTTTCTACGTACTGAAGGCACCTCAAGGGCTCCAGACTCTCTTTTTCGACCCTCTTCCAAATGGGAATCTGCATCCCATCACATCTTGCCCTACGAATGTGGAGAACACTTGATCCTTCACCTCCCTGCAACATCTCATGTAGCAGGGGCCTCTTATCGCACCTCCCCACTGCCCCGTGTCCTCCAGACTGTGCTAGTCTGGCAGCCCTTCCTCAGGGCATGAAGTCTCCTCCAGACATGTGGGGACACAGAGAGGCTCTGCAATCCCTCCGTGAACTGTGGGACTGTTGGGATGGAGGCTGCCCTGCCAAGGCTGCTCTGAATTATACAGTGAGCCAAAATAAACTGCCAAAATATTCCAGAGCTGGGTAACGGGGAGCTCAGAGCTACCACTGCCCTCCTCTGCCTGCTCCTTGGTCTCTGACTTGGAGACTGTGCCTTGGTGCAGCAGAGAAGGATGATAACGTAGTTTGAGGTGGATGGGGCCGTGGGAGGTCTCTAGTGCAGCCTCCAGCTCCAAGCAGGGTCAGCTATGAAATCACACTAGGTTGCTCATGTCTGCACAGTTGGGTCTTGAAAACCTCTGAGGATGGAGTCAGCTCTCCCCCGCCTTCCCCCAGCCTTCCCTTGGTTATCCTCCGAGATTCGCCCCCAGAAAGCTCACAGTACCTTGCATTTTCTGATTTTCTACTCATGCACTGGTGCAGGAAAAGGTAGTCCTGAGGGGCACTGGCAGACAGGGTGGTCTGGATGTGGTTGGCCGGCGAGTCGAAGGTGAACAAGGTGGGCTGGCTGGAGTGGGAGGGCGCTGAGGACTTGCGGTCTCGGAGCAGGTGGTGGTTGGAGCCGCTCAGCTCGGCCGGGGAGGAGCGCGGAGCGTGGTTCATGGAGGTGATGTTCCTCAGGGTATCTGCGTGGGGAGAAAGCACACCAGGTCACGTATGTTTGCCAGGTCACATCCGTCCTAGCAGCTTCAGCCGTTATGCTGGCTCTTGGGTGGCCCTAGGTCTCCTGAGAGGCTAAGGACAGAGCTGGGGTGGCAATTCAAGAAGCTTGGCTCCACAGACAGGCTTCCTAGCCACTGATCAACCTGTCCCAACAGGCTAGGACAATTCACAGAATCACAGAATCCCAGAGTGACTGAGGTTGGAAGGGACCTCTAGAGATCATCTAGTCCAACTCTCCCGGCTCCAACAGGGACACCCAGAGCACGGGGCACCTGGGCTCATCCAGGTGGGTTTGGAAGATCTCCAGAGCAGGAGACTCCACAGCCTCTCTGGGCAGCCTGTGCCAGGGCTCTGGCACCCTCACACCAAAGAAGTTCTTCCTCACATGGAGGTGGAACTTCCCGGATTTCAACTTAAACCTGTTAGCCCTCAATTCATTGACTACTCAGTCAATTCGTTGACTACTAGCCACATTCCTCACATGCCCTTCCTGAAACTGAGAGGCACATCAAGACTGCAAGTCTGGCTTTTGGTGTCCCACTGCAGGTCCTTGGTTTGCCAGGCGACACATGCTGCACCGTGATGGAGAGTCAAGCAAGCGTCCCAGGGACCTTCTCAGTGGGAGGTGTAACACCTATGGCTGGAAGGGACTGGACTCAGTGACCCAGGCAGCTCATGCCCCTAGGCTTTTCCTTCATTTTCCTCATGAATGCTAGTTTACAAATGTACTCTTGCATTCACAGAGATCTGTTGGATTTGCTTGTGGTTTTGCAGTCAAAGAGAACCAGAACCCATGTTTGCAGCAAATGCAACCGGAGGCACCAAGCTGGGGAAAATATTGAGGTATTTCATCATATTTAGGTTAGGTTGACATATTAGGTGACTACAACCTTCTCAGCTCCCACATCATGCTCAGCTTAGCTCAGCCAACATGATTTAAGTTCTTCCCAGACTGAGAAAGGGAAGAGGTCATCGCTGCAACCAGTGTACAAGATGGCAAACTGAGGCACGGATCAGGAATGTGGATGGCCAATGGACAGCAGACACCAAAAAACATTCTCAGGTTCCTCAATTCTTAACCATTTTTGTGACTTCAAAAGACTTTCTGCAGTTTCCTGCTCACAAAATGGGAGGCAGGCAGAAAGTTTAATTTCTAGTCCCTCCTTCTCTTTGTTCAGGGAGAAATGCACTTTAAAATTAAATTAATTTCCATTCAGAGTATCCTCAAGGTCAGGAATCATCATCCTACTACTCCAGCTCACTGATAAATGAACTCCAAGAATTTGAACAAGGAATGAATTTTTACAGCCAAGCTGCAAACCCCATTAAAAAAAAAAAAAAAAGTCTGCAGAATATATTGGAAAAGCTGATCCATCTTGGGCTCCAGAAGCTGCAGTGATCTCTCTGCCATGAACACACTCCCAGCATGAAGAAAACGCTCATCATATGGCACTGAATTCACTCTTTTTCATAGCTGTGATTTTAACTGATTTGCTGCTGATGGAAAATGAGCTAAAGGAAAAAAAAGACACTCTCAGAGAGGCTCAATCCACACCAGAATTCAGTTCTTTTCCTGGAGTGATCCAGAGGACCACAAAAAGGTGGTGTGCTACCTCCACCTGATGTCTTGCTATATGTTTTTGAGGGGGGGCATGCTGGCTGAATTAAGAGTGATCCAACGAACCGGGCGGATGGTGGGAGGCAAATTAAATACAGGCTCGCAGGAGCATGCAGCGGGACGAGGCTTTGCATGAAGATTAGCCTTGCAGAGGGAGAGCCTGAACTCAATTACGCTGGCAAAGAGCACAGAAACGAGAGCAGAATTTGTCCCAGCTTTCAAATAAGATTTTGATCACTCCACAACCCATTATCCGCCTCCACGACCGTCGGTAAGTGCCTTCTAAACACTGCATTTTTTTAACCCTTCCTGAGAGATAAGGCTAGTGGGAAGATAAGGATAGCGGCGTTTGCTCCAGCTGAAGGTCCCATGAGCCAGGACGCCGTTCCCAGCGGTGACAGATGTGCAGCAAAACAGCGCATGGAGCACT